CATGCTTCACTCCTTACCACCTGCATAAAATAAGTGCCTTTATGACTGCTACTTGTTGGTGGTACCCATGCCGTAAGGGGGATTTTTTTCAAATTGTTTGGGTTTGTCCATCTATTGTTTCTTATTTGCAAGATATAGTAGATTAAATATCCATGGTGACCTATTTGCGACTTCTCCCATCACCTGGAATCCGTTTAATGGGCTTGAGAATGTGGCCCCCACCAACTCTGAACATACGCTTCTGGGTCTGCTTCTCTTTCTTTTTTTATGCTTATAAGGCAATTGCCATATGTTGGAAGAAACCCACTTCTCCCACTGTGCTTTTTTGGAAAAAAATGGTTAATGACAACTTGCCCTTGTATCAAGATACTTATTTCCATAGGGGCTGTTCTAATAAATTTGATAAGATGTGGCATCTCTGGCTTGAGCATTCTAATTCTGCAGCAGACACTGCATTATATTACTGTGGAATCTTTTTTTGTTTTTTTGCTTTGCCCCTTTGATATGAGCTTATTTAGGTGTCACATACAAATCTCCTTTTTTTTTTTTCCCCTTATCCTTTTATCCTTGCCTTGCTGGCGGTGTCTGTGTGTGAGCCAGCTTAAGATATGTTTTTTTTCTTTACTATAGTTGTGCTGTTTGTTTAATTGCACTTTTGTACAGTTGTACGAGTTGTTTGTAACAAGGTGTAATTTACTATATGCAAATGCTTCCCTTGCTATCTGCGTTTTTTTTAGTATTCTGACAGCTGCTGCCGTCAAAATAAATTAAAAATAACAAAACAAAAAACATTGGAATGAATTGCTGCTGGCTATTTTATTTGCAATTAAAAAAAGACAGCAGGGAAAGGTGTACTCTGCTAGATCGAGCAGAGTAAACCTTTCCGGGAGAAAATGTTTGGGTGAAGGTGCCTCGTCACCCTGGTTGAGAGGCTGCCATAAACCTTTTTTATAGAAAAAGATAAAAGGTATTTTTGGAATTGCTATAAAAAACATTGAATTCCATATTACCAACAGAGCTGCTTATAGATGGATTATTTTACTAAAAATAAGTTGGATTGTCTGCAAAGTAAAAAAAACCTCTTGTATGCTCTTCATGCAAAAACGGCATACATCAATCTTCAGTAGGAAAAACGGTACAAGAATCAATAGGCCAAATATATTTGGACTCTGCTGTCCTGCATAGTTTTCCTGCTGTGGGTAGTTCACAGTTGTCTTTTAGAAAAATGTATAATTATTAGAATAGCAATCGGTGAAGTAAGAGAAACGACAGCTTTATGGCAGTTGCCTGGATTGTATTCACCCAGCAACGTTGAACAGTTGCCAGGCAGCCCAGCAGTGCAGCCCCTGATCTATGCATCAGCAAGCACAGAGTTAAATATGTGGGTTCAGCTAAGATGTTTCTGCTGGATTAAATTTAAAGTGGTGCTTTTCTGATGAACATTTTCTGAAAGAGAAAAAAATTTCACAAAGGAGAAAACAGCCAAGATGGTGATTCACCCCTTACGAGGAGAATACTTGCCATTCCTAAGTGTGTAACATACAGCTTGCGCAGCACGACGAGACTAGGAATAGAAAAACCATGTGCAATGGAAAAGTAAATTACAGTGGAAGATATGCTACAATTATCTGAGCTTTTATGCAAAATTAGAATTATTTCCTATGCACACAGAAGCAGATCTTTTTCAGACTTTTTTGTTCCTTGCTAATACTTCTTGCACATTTTAAATTTTATGGTGCAGCAATGGTACACAGAAAAATTAATAGTTGATATGTCTTGGACAAAAACTTGCTCCAGTGACACCAGCTGACAGATCAATGTCTACTAATAGACTAATAAATCTTTTTGTTATCTCAAATAGATCACCTGCACTCCATATGGCGTTACAACTTCGCACAATAGTGGTACTTGCAGTGATGAACACAGATGGCGCCGTGTAATCTCAAAGAATTAGATAGAAGATCACCAGCACTGACGAACTGTTGTGATTGCTGCTAATCTTCTATCCAATACTTAGATGCAAAAACGAACATTAGTATCTTTTCTTTTCAGGTCTAATGTAATATTCGGAAAATACCACAGTATGGCCACTAGATGGCGCATAGGAAATAAATGGTTGGCTCCATCCAGTGGCCAGATTGCGGTATTTTCCGAATGGTACATTCAACCTGAAAAGAAAATATACTACCATTTGTTTTTTTCCCCTCTGTTTGCACAGAACAACTATTCACGGAGAATCTGTGAATTGTTTATAAATAGACCACTATATGGTTATGGTTTTACTTGAAATCTATATTACATTCTACACCTGATATGATTGTTTCCTTTTGTTACGTAGAATCCTACATCCTGGCACTCGCATTATTAAAATTTACTATGTAGCCATTAGGTAGAAGCATTAACTCAGCGTTTTTCAACCACTGTGCCGCGGCACACTAGTGTAGATTCAGCTTTTGAGCAGAGCAGTGTTACTACTAGGCAATTGCTCCAGCAACAACTCGAGTGTCTGCAGAACTCAGAGGTTTGCTCATGCTTGTTACAAATGCAGCTGTTCAAGGCTACATACAGACAGAATGGTGTCTTCTCAAGAACCACGGGCAGAGGGAAACCAGCATATCATACAAAGGCTGAATAGTGCTATGGAGATCATCGCATGGTGCATGACTAGTACACCACTGACCATTGGTAAAAAGTGTAGATTTAGTCAACCCCAGCTTGAGCCCTCATTTCTCCCTCCCATTTTTTTGTCTACCTCTTAAGCTCACCACGCACATTACAATCTGATTGTACAATCTCCTTTAGATCTACCAACAACTATGTAGTGCAAGGACCTGCCTTACTGGATGCAATTTGATTGCACATTGCAACGTGTATAGTGACCCCAAGCTTTCAGTTTTAATTATTTGTGTAAATGTGGAGATAAAAGTGAGTTATTCATTCCTAGCCTTGTCTCTCATATCCAGTGGTGTCCATGAAAAGATGTAATTTGGGGAAATTTATCGGGTTTCCATCCTGGGGTGCGAGTACCCCCAGAGGTACTTGGCGGCATATTTGGGAGTACTTGAAAATATTTTTGTAATGGTGGAAAAAGACTGTAGGAGTGGGGAGTCGGGGACTAAAATGTGGTCAGAAGGTTTGCTGAGTAATCCTGCACCCAAAGTTTTCTGACACTCATTCCATAGTTCTGACTGCCCAACACTTCAGTTAGTCCTCAGTTGAGTGATGTGGCCTATGCTTCTCTTTTAGAATGGATATTGCCTTCTGCAATTTGGCACGAAGAGGAGAGAGATTGTAAGTCCTGATTCGAACCAGAATCTGCTCAACCCATCTCTCCTCAGTCACACTGGCTGCCAGTCCATTAAACCGACTCCATCAGATGTCCACCCTGCAGCATCAATCGCCTCTATTACACTTTACGTGGAGCACTGCTCCAGCTGCAGCTCGTCCCTGAACTGCAACATACATGTTAGCCGCCAGACTGTACAAGGGAATCCACTGTTACAGGCTGTAAACTTAATGTTCCCAAAATAACACTGGACACACCACCACAATATGGCATACCCAAAATGCCCCCTACCTCAGCCTCCCAGCTCCCTCTTTCATCCCACTGACACAGTGGCATTTGAGCCCTTACTACTGTTCGTGCAATTTGGTCATGCCCACCATTCGGCACACCACATGCTTCACTATTAGTCCTACCCACTGTCCCACCCCAAATAAGGTGTACAATGTATACAAATGGGCTGTCAAGGGGTACACAAGTAAAAAAAGGTTGGGAATAACTGATGTAGAACAAAGACCAAAAAAATATTTGTATAAGTGTTATTTCTGTTCTGAGCTAGTTTGTTAGCGTTAAAGTTACTTCGCTTAGGTGTTGAATAAAAGAGAAATGTGGGATAACATTTTTTCCCCATAGTTCTCTTTAGGGCCATGGGAAGACATATACGAATGTCCTCCCGTGACCCAAAGCTTAATATATAGCGAGCTGTTGCTCGCTTTATACTGAGAGCACAGCAGCCGGGACGGATTCCGACAGTACAGTCGATATCTACCCAGCTGGCTGATTGACAGCAGGCTCTCCCTATCTAGAGGCAGAGCCAGCTGTGCCTGCCCCCTCCCCTATCCGTTCCTCCAGTCAGCGCTGGAGGATCAGAGAGGGGAGAGGGAAATACCTTCGGGGAGCTGTGACTGACCGTCACGGCTCTCTGCAGGGAGATGATCGGGAAGTGAGTGAGCGACGGTATGTATTCGCTCACTTCCCGATCAATAGAGCCGACGTGAGACAGTTTCAATGTCACAAGTCCTGCTCTAACTATGATGATGAGTGTAATTCAAGATTTTAGCCTTCCCCCTAATCTTATAAAACATGTGTCTCTGTTGGTGGTTTTCCTTAAACTCCCCTCCACTTGTTATCGTGACAGTAAAGTAAGGTATACACGGGTAGGTTTCTATTTTTTTTTTCCCCCCACCGACGTTCATATGAAAAATACCGTCCGAATGTGCGATACTGACATCAGAATCTTGCTGATTGTCGTTAGAAATGTAATTTAATTTTCGTTTTTATTTAACATTCTATTTTGGACTGAATGGAGTTTCCGAACAAAAACCACATTGAGTGTTAAAACTTTGTTCAATTGAGAAAATGTTTTCCAACATGTTCCTTCGAAAATGTTTGGGAATGGTGTCGTTTTCATCTGTAGATTGCCCCATACTAATTGATATTCGAATGAACGTTCCAAAAACTACTACTTTTGTACGAAATTTGAACCGTGTTTACCCTACTTTAGTGAGGGAAAATCTCTTACGGGGAGCAGTAAAAACCTGTTGGGGGTTCTAAACCTTCCCTACTGTGTCCGAAACTAAAGAAAAACAATTTTGACTGAACGTTCATTTTAAATCAATTTTGATGAATTCCTGTTTTTGTGGTCTAGTTTTTATTCATACTCCTGTTGTAAACCTTTACTCTTTGTGGTCTGAAAGTTCACTTCTTTCTTTTAAAGATGTTAAATGATGCATCTCTTGGGAAACTGCGTATCGTTCATGGTGATATTCTTACATACAGAGTTGACAGATCATTTCCGAAGCATTTAAAGAAGCAATGGGAAGATGGTAAGTTAGTAAGCTAAGTGTCTGTGAAGGTTCTCATTCATCCAGGTCATGGTATAATGGTAGAAAATAAGTCAAGGCAACTGGACTTGCTGTATTTTTCTTGAAGACTTTTCACTGGTCATCTGACCAGCTTTCTCAATTCTGAATTGAGAAAGCTGGTCAGATGACCAGTGAAAAGTCTTCAAGAAAAATACAGCAAGTCCAGTTGCCTTGACTTATTTTCTACATTTAGTATGCTAAGATATACACAATGCAGCTTTTGTTTAAGGATTGTTTGGTGCTATATGTGCTACAAAAAAAACTTCTTTGTGTTATCAGAGCAGTGACTTATCGAAATAATTCATTCCTTATATATAGTCGTGCGTGTGTACCTTTTTTATAGGCTTCATTTATAAAATGTCTATCTGGCGTAAAGCTGAAGATTTATAAATGAAGCGATATTTTATAAAACCTCCTTTAACCAGTTGACATCCGCGGTGTTAAAACCCCTTCCCATCCAGGCCATTTTTCAGTATTCAGCGCTGCGATACTTTGACTGACATTTATTCCGTCATGCAGCGCTGTACTGAAATTAATTTTATACCATTTTTTAGGGACAGATAGAGCTTTCTTTTGGTGGTATTTATTCACCACTGGGGTTTTTATTTTTTACTATATTAAGGAAAAATTACCGAAATTTTAAAAAAAAAAAAACAGTTTCCCCTATATTAACCCCTTCATGACTGAGGCTCTTTTTTTCAATTTTTGCACCCATGTTATATTCCACATTTTAGGCCTGAAAATGACGTAAAACCCCCCAACAGGGGGCAAAAAAACAAGCACATATAGACGATCGTCGGGCTATGGAGCCGCCGATCGTCTATATGTGAAACACCTGGTAACGGGTGTTTGCATTGGTCGGGTCTTTTCTGCCTGTGCGCGTCCGCTAGGGGGCGCGCGCAAGTAGAAAAAAATGGCCGTCTGGAGACAACCCACCAATGCTGCAGTGCCGTCCGTACGTTTTTTTACAACGGGCAGACGGCAAGTGGTTAAAGCTGAAATAAAATTGACCTCAAACCTTTTGAAAATACAGTTCCCCTGGCTGTTTTGCTAACCTAGTGACTCGGTATGTCCTGAGTCATTGAGCCGGAAACAAGTATACGGATCAGAAGCTGTAATTTGTCGCTATATTTATAAAGTAGTGACTCTAAGGCCCCGTTCACATATAGCGACTTATCGCGCGATTTCCGCCGCGATATCGCGCATTTTTGCCGCGCGATATCGCGAGAAGTCGCCGGCCAATGCTATTCAATGGAGCTGTCTTAACTCCATGTCGCGCGTCGCAGTTGCAAGTCGCTTCTACCGGACCCTTTTTTCGGCGGATTTTGCGCGATTTTGTTTTTTTTCTATGGAGCCCGATGGAGAAGGTCGCGCTACCGTCGCTGGATCGGCGCTGGAACGTCGCCCCGAAAGTCGCGCTATCCCGGCCGCTGCAAAGCTATGTCGCTACATGTGAACGGGGTCTAACATTCAGCAAACATATACTGCAGTGGAATCTTTGAGGGGGGGCGTTTTAGTGTTACATTCACTACTTTATAAATATGCCCCTTAAAGTATAACTAAAGGCAAACGTTTTGGATAGAGCAGTGATGGGTCAGAGCCACTGTCAAGTTTTTATTGCTGTCTATGCCCCCGCTGGGGAGATTCACTGTCTCTTTGTGTTGGAATAAAAGTGAGGGCAAGTACAACATTTTGAGTTGCCACCAGAACAGAAATGGAGGGGAAATCATCATATGGGGAAACTTGTTCCCATGATATATTTCCCTCACTTTGGGAAGATATCCTCTCACTTCCTGTTAAGTCTACAGGACAGGAAGTGAAGGGAAATCTCAGATTTGAAAAAATTAAAATTAAAAAAACTTTCATTCTGGCTTCATTAGGTCATCCAGGTCAGTGACTGAAAAACTGTTGAAGCCTGGGATGACCAAGCAACTAGCAGTTGTAGAAGGAAATCAGCAGCGACAAGTATACTTTAAAAGAATGGTCTAACCTTTCTTGGACATCGTTCTCTTCAGGGTCACAGGAGGGCATATACTTATGTCCTCCTGTGACCCAAAACTCAGTATATTGCGAGCTATTGCCTACTATATGCTGGGAGTGCAGAGCCGCGTTGCAGTGCGGATGGATCCTGACAAGACTGTCGAGATCCACCTGCTAGCTGATTGACAGCTGGCTCTGCCTCTCTAGAAGCAGAGTTAGCTATGCCTGTCTCCTCCCTCGTCCATTCCTCCAATCAGTGCTGGAGAAACAGGGGAGGGGGGAATCCTTGCGGGAAGCAGTGACTGACGGTTCAGCGTTCAACGGTATGTGTTCACTGAGTTTCCGATCAATAGAGCCAACCTGTGACGGCATTCAGTGTCAGTGGTCAGCTTGAATTATGGGGATGAGTGTATTTCACTCGCCTATAATTCTCCTTTAAGTAAAAATGTACCTCTATTACCTTTTTTCTTCTGAAAATGCTAGTTGTCCGACTTCACTATTTCTGAGTCACTAAGCTAAACCAAGCTTGGAGAAAAGTCAGAATTCCTCATCTCTATACGGGTTATGGGTACGTGACTCAGAAAGTATTGTAACCACATGCATTAGTGAAACAGCCAATCAATCACATTTTCAGAGGAGAGGTCTATAGGGGCATTTTATCTCGGTGTGGCATCCTGGCCATCACACCCATGTTATGGTGTCAATGGGACACAGAGAAAACAATTGTTTTCTTTGTGTCCTTACGGTGAGCCTTTGATCTGGTGCTGTACAACACAGGTTCCCGCTAGATGTGTAAAGGAGCCTTGAATCTCCCTCCCTATTGGCCTGCTAAATATACTGTTAAATGGTTTGTTATATCTGTTTAAGAAGTGCAACAAATATCTGTAGTTCCATCCTAGGGTGACATTGCTGATCTTCCATACATACAGAGCTGTGAGTGTTGTCATCCTAGGGCAGGAAGTGTGTTACTGGCAGGATCATTAAGGATATCTACAATATATTACATTTTTGAGTTTAGATATACTTAAAATCTAGAAACAAAAACAATAACTTTCACATTTTGTATACTTTCAGATCCACCAAATGTACATATTATTGGTAATCTCCCTTTTAATGTCTCAACACATTTGATTATCAAGTGGTTTGAAGCGATTTCAGAAAGAACTGGGCCATTTTTTTATGGCAGAACACAGTTGACATTGACTTTCCAGCATGAAGTTGCAGAGGTAACTCCATTTTATTATTGTATTGTGTATCAATATAAAGCATATCTAAAGCCAGAAGCAAAAAATTTAATGTTTTGCAGTTTTCAAGTCCTCAGATGTGTTGGCAGCATTAGTTTTCTTTTTATATTTGTTGATTTTAGAAGAATTCCAGTGTCCATGTAACTTCCTGTGGAGTGAACTGAAATCGCAAACCATGTTATCAGCTTTCTCTGCTATCTTGTGTAAACTGCAAAGCAAAGCAGCCCCTCATATAATGGAGATAAGGAGAAAGACAGGCATTTGTATTCCAAATCAGGAGAGAAGCGTAAGGTACAAAGCTGCTCCTACATAGATACAGTACAGTAAGTGAGAGTTGTCACCCGAAGACAGGAAGTGTGTTACTAGCAGGATCACCAGGTGAAAATAAAGGAGGAAAGAGCTTGAAAAATAGAAACTAAAGCAGCCACCACATCTAAGAACTGGTAAATCTGCTGTATATTAGATTTTTATTTTTGTGTTTTAGATACGCTTTAAGGTTCCCAGGTGTGGGAGCATAGGGATCTCTACCCTTCCTCCCACAATGCGTCTCTGGGTGATTGAGCAGTCAGTTTTCAGGCAGCAGTGCTGTCACAGATGGGAGTGGGCAAGACTCCTCTGTACTGTGCAAGTCCCAGTCATGATAATCATGGCTTCTTCTCAATTCCTTTGGAGAACAGCAATTGGGTAGTAAAGGGAAATAAGTATAAGCATCAGGGAAGATAGGGGTCACATTTATCAGAACCTGTTACTTTGACCCGCACTGGCAAAGCACTGTTTCTTTTTACGTCTTCATGCATGAAAGTGTCCTTTTCTGCCCACATCAAATAATTAGGTTTTTTTTTGTTTTTTGTTTCTGTTTTTGTATTTTTTTTCGTATGCGTTGTGTTGATCTATATAATTTTCAGAACGCATGAAAAATCGGATCAAATAGTTGCTATTTTATATGATTTCCACACACATCATGTGTAATCGGTACAATTCTTGCCATCAACTTGCTTTTGGACCATTTGTGGCTACACTTCTCAGCTGAGCTGTTATCCTTTAGACCAGGGGTCACTAAATGGCAAACTACGGTCTGGACACGGAAAGAGTCACCATTCTGTCTGGATAGCGATCATGCACCTGTGCTGGGTTATGGCTGACATTGAATGCAGTGGTTTTGGAGACTCTCTGAGGCCAGCACATTCACACGAGCCATAACCCAACGCAGATTCCCACTCTCCTCTACAGTCATTGATTGCTAGGACCACTAGCATCCAATGACTTCACATGTCCCTCCTCCTTAGGCTGGGTTCACACCTAGACGTATCGACTATGCGAGTTTTTACCGCGATTCGCGGTAAAAAAACGCGCGACAAACGAGCGTTTCCGAGGGCTACTTGGCTGTATCCCAATGGAAACGCGCAACAAAAACGCCCAAAAGAAGCTCCTGTACTTCTTTGGGCGTAGGGCGTTTTGTAGCGCGTTCATACGGCCTGTAATACGCCTAGGTGTGAACCATACCCTTAGGAAATAATGGGATTTCGGTGTTTGAGCGTTTTGCAGAGCGTTCGAACGCGCTACAAAACCAGGCCTTAGTGATTGGCTGCTAAGACCTCTGCAGTCCTAGCAACAAATGACGTCATATACGTGTCCTGCCCACAGCATCCCAGGAGGGCGAAATGTAACATCTTCCATCCATTCCTGCAGCCTGCTCCACCTCCCAACTCCTGCCTGGGGCCTGTTAAGGTAAGGTATGAGGGATCATTTAATGTAAAAGGCACTCTGATGGGGACAGCCAATGTTAGGGAGCACTCTGAAGGGGACAACTAATCATTGCCCCTTTACAATTGATGTCCCAATCAAGATGCCCCTAATTTGAGTACCTGCTTACATGTTACTAATGTGGTGGGGGGCTCTCTGATTGGGACAATTCGTTGTCCCCATCATAGTGCCCCCTTACATTTGATGCCTCCATTAGAGTACACCCTTACTAATGTAAGAGAGCATTATGATGGAGACAACCACTCTGATGGGGACAACCAATGTAATGGGGCACTCTGATGGGGGAAAACCAATGTAATGGGGGAAATTTGATAGGGACAACCAATGTAATGGGGCACTCTGATGGGGACAATCAATGTAATGGGGGAAATTTGATAGGGACAACCAATGTAATGGGGCACTCTGATGGGGACAACAAAAGTAATGGGGCACTCTGATGGGGACAACTAATGTAAGGGGGAGCTCTGATGGAACACACTAATGTAAGGGAAAAGTCTGAAGGGAACAACTAATCTAAGTGGCCACTCTGATTGGGGCAACTAATATAACGAGGACGTGAGATTCGAACCTCTGCTCAAAGAAAATGTTACCCACTGGACCTTAAGTGAGCTTTCATATTATGGAGACTGCAGCATATTTCAAGACACAGCCCAGTTACAGAGAGGCTGCTAAGTTTTAGAGAGACTGATCAGACTGCTGTGTTCCAAAAAGAGGCTGGGGGCCTGCCAGAGTTCTAAAGCTGGCCATACACTGTTAAAATTCTTTTTGAACGTTTGTTGAAAATTGTTCATCAAATCATTTGATCTTGCCATTATTGAGTCAACTAACTTTATTTAAAATCCTTCAAAGATTTTATCCAGACGTTAACCTAACTTACTGTAGATAGCTAGGAACAGAACAGCTAAAAGAGAATTATTAGGATTTTATATTTATTTAAAAAAAAAAAGGCAAATAATCACAATGGCACTACTCGCTACAAAATTAGCTACAGCTAGGGAGTTTTTTGTTGTTTTTGAGCAATCGAAACATGGAATTGAAGTACAGTTAACTGACGATGTTACTTGCAAATTATCTGACACATCAAGTCGGTTTATTCACTTTGATTTTAGGTTCAATAATGCAGGGAATCCTGTTTTTGTTTTTTTAATTCCGAAATCCAGTCCCATACAATCATTTGGTTTTCATACCTCCAAGTAGGGATGTCCCGATACCACTTTTTCAAGGCCAAGTACAAGTACTTCCCCTCATGTACTTGCCGATACCAATTACTGATACTTTTTCTTAAAGGGACAGGTGACATTAAAAAAAAAACAATACAGACTAATGATTTTAGGACAATTTCTTTATGATTATGAAGAACTTTAATTTAAGACTGTTTTAGAACAATAAAGCATCTTTATTTGCTTTCACACAGCTGTAGTGAAACTACAATTCCGATCATGCATCTGCCTCTGGGATCATTTAACCTATTCATATTGGCAAGGGAGAATCGTAACTCTAACTTATCCTAGTACACACTTCCAGTACACTGCAGTAATAGAGTTACATTTCTGCCCTGCTAACATGAATAGGTTAAATCATGATCCATAGCATACACTACATATACAGTTCACGCTTCCAGTAAACTGCAGCATAGATTTACAATTCTCCCCTGCTAGCATGAATAGGCTAAATCATGATCCATAGTACATAATATGTAGTTGTACTATGGATCATTTAACCTATTCATGTTAGCAGGGGAGAATTGTGAATCTATTGATATAGTGTACTGGAAGTGTGTGCTGTATATATGTACTACATATACAGTACACGCTTCCTGTATGCTGTATCAATAGATTTACAGCCAGCCCTGACCCAGCTTCCCTCACTTACAGTTTCACTGAGATCCCTTGTGCATCACGTCTCTGTGGGAGGCGCTCCAGTAGAGTCCTGATTTAGCTGCCCGGCAGACTGCCCAGAGGACCCCAACACGCACGGTACCTCTGGGCAGCATGAAGCTACAAAAAAAAAAATATATATTATAGCGCAGTATCAGCGCTATGTATCGTGGCATTTTCACAAGTTTTATTTGTTCAGGTTTTTGTAAATCAGCCCCAGTGTCTTTTAGTTTTTATCTCTAAACACCACACGAGGAGAATGTATTCATTTGAATTAGGTGTTAATTCTTTCATGCTTATACACCGCTTCCTTCCATTCTTCTCTGTTTGGTAGCTTTTTCACATAGTTGGACTGTTTTCTTTTTTTTTCAATTTTACCAGTAAATGTATTGTTTTTGGAATTTTCTTAGTGTAAAGATAATTAAATGTGCAGCCATGGGTATGAAAAAGCCATTGTCCCTTAACTTTAATCAACCTAAATAAAAGCATAATTACAATTTGCTATTTGATTACAATCAGGACTAGCGTGAGACAGCCAAGTCCATTATCACGTTAAACCAATTTTATTATTACAACCCAAATGTCACAATTATTACAACCCAACCCAAACAGAGATTTGTTGAGGCACATCAGGTTGCATTAAAAAAAAAAGAAAAACTTTGCGAAAGACAATCCTGCCAAAATCTCCCCCCAAAAAATGGAAAACATTTAGGGAATAGTAAGCCCTATTTGCTTCAGCTCAAGTCACTGTTCATGAAATACCAATAAGCACTAAGCGCTTTTGACCTGTAGTTATACATGTCGTTTAAAATTTTTTTTTTTTTAAATGGAAAAGTATCACCAGTGTTTTTTCCCCCCCTGTATCGCCTATCTTTCAGACATAGTGTTCGGTAGTTACTCCCTCAGACCTCCACTATTTACAGGACTCAGTAGTGACGTGAAGGTCAGAGGGAGGAACCAGTGAACAGTGCGGGTATCCACAAGTTCAACACTTCCATAAGTGTTGGCTTCCTTTTGGATTTCAGCCAAGGATTTCTTGCAAACAGAGGCATTCTGGTGGTAGAGGCAGTGGGATAGGAAAGTATGCACTTGCTCCTTTAACAGGTATGGTTATTTTGCTTTGTGATAAATCATGACAGGGTCACTTTAATGTCAAAAAGATGCAACCTCAGAAATAAGAGCAATACTTCTATACAAAATTTTCTGCAATGTCTGTTTATAGTTTAAATTTAAGTTTCAGTGCAAACAGTCCACTGCTCAAATTCCCAGGCCACACTATGCAATAATCACACCACAAGTGCCGGCAAAACAGCCACGCCTCCGCCTCTAACGTATGATTCTTCTTACAAACAAGACGTAGTTCCATGGACCTTCATAAGTTAAAGCTACTTTTATTGATTATAACGAATACATACTGTGAAACAAAGCTCCCATGTGTATAACACCACTCGCGTGTTTCACCAATCTGGCTTAATCCTAGAGGACATGATTAAGCCAGATTGGTGAAACGCGTGAGTGGTGTTATAAACATGGGTGCTTTGTTTTTCACAGTATGTATTTGTTATATAAGCTTTAGCTTATGAAGATCCATGGAGGTGCGGCTTGTTTATAAGAAGCATTACATTTTAAGCATGTTTTAAAACGGAAGGTGAAATGACCAAAAGAGGGTCAAATCAAAAGGCAGTGCAATGAGGATCGGAATGCCTGGTACGGTACAAATATTTAAATTTTATTCAATATTTTAAAATTGATGAGTCACAAAAGACACACACCTACTGGCCACCACCAGTACACCCTATTAAAATTGGTCAATCAGCCAAATCACTCATTCCAAAAAAACGTGCATACTGCGACAAGCTGATCAGCATATGTGTTTGACCGGTACTGCTCAAAAAAAACAGAAAGGCATCATTTAGATGAGCGACAGACTCCACCTCCCTCTGAAAAGCCATCCACAGGCATTCGGGAGGTAATACTATACGCCTTTTTTTCCATCCCAAGGGAAGTTTTTCATTGAACTACCATGCCACAACCATATGGTAAACAATTGGTGCGCATTTGCGGCTGGATCCCATTCTCCTACATTTTTTTTTTCTTTTTGCGCCACAAAGCCAAGTATCATGCCAAAGCATTGTATACAGCACTGTCTGTCCGCAGTGCTGACATTACAGCGGGCGACTGGGGAGTGGTCCAGCCACCTGATTTTACTACCCCTCTGCAGCCCGTCTAAACTAGGCCTTATATAACATTGCAGTCATTTTTAGGTTTCTCTGTTTTGTTTTTTCTCTTACACAGAGGATGAAAGCCTCAGTTGGCAGTAAACAGAGGAGTAGACTGTCTATCATGTCTCAGTATCTTTGTGATGTAAAGCACTGCTTTTCCATTCCTGGTCGTGCTTTTGTTCCTAAACCAGAGGTAAGAATATTTCAGATTTCCATATCTCAGTTGTAATAAGTCAAATTTGTATATATTCACCTGTCTTTGCTACAGTAGGATAATTGCTTGTCGTAACCAAATGTCTTTACATATGTGAATATTTTAGATTGCACTTCTTTTCTTCCATACACAATTTTGCTTATTAATACCCTGTCTCTTTAAAGCGGAACTTTAGTGTCCTATACAACTTTGCACCGTAGCAAAGCTTACCTTATTATGTTTCTAGTCTAGCTGTCTCTACCTCTCTGTTAAAGCTTTCTATTGCCTAATATGATTACTTAAAGGAGAACTATGAGGTGAGTGCTTTTCACTCACCTCATAGTTCTAGCTGACCTGTGACAATGAGACTGTCACAGGTCGGCTCAGTAGATCGGGAAGTGAGCGAACACATACCGGCGTTCGCTCACTTCTCGATCCTGTCACGGCTCTCTGCCGTGACAGGTGAGGGGCTGGAATCCCCCCTCCCCACTCCGATCCTCCAGCGATGACTGGCGGAACGGACGGGGGAGGGGCGGGTACAGCTGGCTCTGCCTCTAGATAGGCAGAGCCAGCTGTCACTCACACAGCTGGGCGGATCCAGACATAATTGTCGGGATTGGCTTCAGCTGCGGCGGCTCAGTATACCGCGAGCTGTAGCTCGCGATATGCTGCGGCATCTCAGTATACCGCGAGCGGTATACTGCGGCGTCTCAGTATACCGCGAGCTGTAGCTCGCGGTATATTGAGCTTAGGGTGACGGGAGGACGCTAGTTTGTGTCCTCCCGTTACCCTAAGGAACTGGGGAGAAGCACTAACCCCAATTTAATGAGGCAGGAGGAAGGGTAATTTTAATGTTTTTTTATTTTTTTATAATTGAGATATACCAATAGGTGTTACTTACGTGCAAACAAGAAAGTTGAATGTGTCTGAACAGAGTCTTAATATAGTGCAACTGCTCTAGAACACTAGCTTGATTCTCAGAACCTTTACTTGGCCATAACATTTACTAATTTACTTCCCTCTTTATCTATGCTTGTTATAAGGCTTGTTGGATGCTCTCATAGTAAGATTCCACATCCTTTGGATCTCTTAATGGCTGTTGTCCACTAATTCAGAGGAACTGCTTTTGGAGATATCAATTGTCCCTTTAATAAATTAATTATTTGTCAGTTAATGAGAAAGAAAGCAGGATTTTCGTACGTTGTAGTTTCTTGGAGTTCAATAAGAGACACCACAATGGGGGGCATTTATCAAAACTGGAGCAGACTAAATGTGGAGCAGCTGTGTATGGCAACCAATCAGCTTCTCTCTTTAATTTTCAAATCTTAACCATAGACAACGGCTCCAGATTCTGTCTGCCCCAGTTTTGATAAATTTCCCCCTCTGTGTTTACAATCTACTTCTAGTACTGCTTTTCTGCCAAACTGAAACATGCTGTTAGTGAGAAAGGGTTATACCTGGCGGATACCCAGTGTCCACATCCTCCCGTAGGCAGCAATATAACCCAATGGATTCTGAAAAAATTAATCCTGATTCTGTTAATAAACTGGATTTTATGGTATGTGTAAAAATCCTGGTTTAGCCCTGTGAATAAGAAGATAGTGGGAATGGTTGAGTAGTTTAGAAAAAGACAAACAATGCTGTGTGTTGTCAGCCAACAATAGGAAATGCAACAGGAAATGAATTCCTAGCAGATTGAAGGTAATGTTTCTGTACTTGCAATGTATTGAAAGGGATACAACTGTTTTCATTGCTCTGTCCTTGTTGGGGAAACTACTCCCACTTTTGTGGGCTGCAGGTATAGGAAGCAAGTCAAAATCATCCTAATAGAAATGCAGATATTATTAACCTGACATATTTTTAATCCTCCTCCCTCTAGACTAGAAAAAAAGATTTGTCTGGGGTTGAGCTTTAACTTCATTTCCCATAGAAGAACAACATATGTAACTTGACCAGGGATCCCCGGGTTGTATTTATGTGAAGATAGATATTAATCAAAAAACTGTAAAAATAACATGTAGACAATTCTCCCACCTATTCAGTTATCCAAATTTTTGAAACTATTAAGTCCTTATATATTTGCATACTTCTGACTGTTTTAATCTTAACTTAACATGAGCAATGCTGTGAGAACCACTCTCCCACATATTACAAATAATAAGGATGTAATAAGCTTGGAGAAGATAAAGCCAACTTTTATCCATTCATTACAAAACTAGATGTAGCAATATATATACAGCAAGAGCTTTTTGTGTAGTTACTTTTGTTCTAGCATTGGTGCAGACTGACCCGAAAATATTTTTTTTTTATACAGCCATACAAAACGGGTTCAGTTTTTGCTCCCCGCATTAAAAAAAAAATAAAGGAAGAATAGTAAATGTAAATAGTGTTAGTCTGAAACAACATACAATCTATACATGCATTTATTATGCAGACTTTAACCCCTTCATGACTGAGGCCCTTTTTTCCATTTTTGCACCCATGTTATATTCCACATTTTAGGCCTGAAAATGACGTAAAACCCCCCAACATTATATATTTTCTGAATGCCAAGACCCTATAGAATAAAATGGTGGTAGTTGAAAATTTTTATGTTGCGCAATATTAGCGCAAATATAAAATGTAAATAGAGCATGCCTATTATTTTGTCTGTGAAAAATTATTTGTCCATTTGCATTTTACAATAGCATTACAAAATCAGCATTATTGCCAGCACCAGCAAGGCAGAAAATATATCACATCAGTAAAAGCTCTGTGTTGTATGGCTTTTTTTATTTACACATAGTCCTGGAGGTTGTAGCCTGCGTTGTTGTTTTGTGACTGCTCAGCGGCCGGCTTGGGTTCTTTTGGGCGTGATTCCATTCTGTCCCTCTGCCTTCTAGAGCAGGACGCACAAAATACCGTACCTGCTAGAAAGTGCAACCCAGCAGAGATAAAGCCTACATATACTGCTCCTCCAGGTTCATGTTTTCCACTCTCTGGAATGGATGGATCCAGGAAACTGGAGATTATTTCTTTCATGTACCAACTCACCGAGATCATCCCAAAGGTTCCAGCAAGCAAAAAGCAGGTTCCACCAGCAAAGGCTATATTGTTTTTGGTGTGTCTGTCACCTCCTAGCTTGGTACATTTCATTCCGGCCATGGAGATGCAAATCCCCAAAGTGGACAATATACAGGATAAAACCATAGCAGTCCTCACAGTCTGGATGTAAAAGGGGAGGGAAAGAATAGAGTATTTCACAGTGCAGCTAAACATGCCAGTGCTGTACCATGTGCAGTCCATCCATAGACCCTGCATTTGAATGACGGCAGTAATAATGTTTCCCCCAGTATCTGTATTGACCTTCCAGTTTGGCAGCAAAGTAGCAGCAATGGCCGCGCACACACCCATGAGTGCAACCACAAAAGCCGAGATTTGTACCCCCACCGAGGCCATGGACGGCTGATCCCAGATCCTCTTCTGAACTGATGTCTGGTCTCTTCTGTCAAAAGTCCAAATGAGAAAGCTCAGTTCTGTTGCAAAATAAAAAAAAGATAGAAACCTGACATGATTATGAGGGGGTGACGAACACAGACAAATGAAGCAGGCAACAAAATAGGTAATATCGCGCCAGCTCAAAGCATAGCTCTTTCAATTAGTTTGAGCCGTTCAGGAGAGTGAAAGCCTCAGCTGACAAACACACATGCCACTTGAACATTTATTCTTTGGTAAATATAGATTTTTAGAAACTGCAGCCACAATACTCTTCATAAAATACATAAGCATTTACATATAGAAATAATTATTTAACACTTCACGCAAAAGTACCCCACTTTGTCACGACATTGATTACGTGATTAATAGCGGTCTGCGTTGATGCAGCAGGGACATATCTGTGACATACAAAACATCAAACTAAGAACAAGCGCCACGCTCTGTACAAAGCCTATTCAGATCCGTGGACAATACTGCTTCTTTCAGTAACGGATATAATGTCTAGAACTGCAGGTGTGATGGGTTATTAAATACATAGCCTACAGCTATTTAATAAATACATCAATTAATTTTAAAAAAAAGTATACATGAAAGCGAGAAGCAAACACATTTCACACTGCACATGCAAATCATTTTTATAAACCTCAAATTTTTATTATAGAAAATTAATATAAGAACAATACAAATAAAAAAAAAAAATTGCAGCATGAAACGGTATACATTACAAATGTGGACTGACTCTTGCTACAAATATT